TAGGACGCAAGCAGATTTTGATATCAAATTTTGGGGTAAAAAAAGTGCGTCTTATACACCGAAAAATACGGTATATTATATTCTTGTTCCTGAAAATCTAAGGCTTAAAAAGGATAACCTTGCAACTTTTTCAAACGTCAGTGAAAATTCATAATGACTTCAAATGAACCAAGTAAACTCATTCAAGTAATGCTAAGGCCAGATACTAAGTAACTAGGAGGGGTTGTTTGATAACAAAACATTTCTGAATATCTTGTTTGATTCAACTAGAACTGAGACACAAAATAAAACTGCTCGGTTTTATATTATAATCATTTCAATAAAAAAGGTATGAACGTTTTCCCCGTTAGATCTATATAGACCCGAAAGAAGAAAAAAAATCGATTCGGAAGAACAGTTAAGGGTTATAAGAAGTTATGCTCGGTTTTATATTATAATCATTTCAATAAAAAAGGTATGAACGTTTTCCCCGTTAGGTCTATATAGACCCGAAGAAGAAAAAAATCGATTAGGAAGAATAGTTAAGGGTTATAAGAAGTTATGCTCGGTTTTATATTATAATCATTTCAATAAAAAAGGTATGAACGTTTTCCCCGCTAGGTCTATATAGACCCGGAAGAAGAAAAAAATCGATTCGGAAGAATAGTTAAGGGTTATAAGAAGTTATGCATACATTACCATAGCAGTGTGTCCACTGGTGTTGAACCTTCTTCTGTCCTTGAACTTTGTATTAAGCTTGTTTCCAGTGGAGTCGCGTGCGTTTCTGGCACAGGTTCAGGTGTAGGAATTGCAAGGTGAAGGGTGCTGATTTCACTGGCTTGATTAGGGTGCTCTGGTTGCTCATTCTCGGTATTAGTACAGTAAGTAGGCAACTCCGAAACGTCTCCTAGACTTGGTTGTAAGTGTGTAACATTAACTTCAGTCAACTCTGACGAATTGAGCATTTCTGATTGGCTTACAGGTGAAAGGCCTTCAAGTTCGTAACACCTGTCAGAGTTCTGCACTGTTGACGCCAAATCTTTACTCATTGTATTATTTTGATTGTTTTCATGCGCTGTTGGAATTGCTGAAGTATGCGACAGGTTATTACATAGAGTGTCTATATCTACAGGTGTGTTGTCAGCCAACTCAACACTTCCCTGATCCTTTGAAACATAAACGTGATTGTTTTGTATTGGAACTTGTGTGGTTAGAGGATGTCCGTGATTAACGTTATCTACTATCTCATCGTTTTCTGCACCCTGGTGATACGTAATATTATAATTCTCGTTTTTTATTTTATTTGTAGAAAACTCTGTTTCGGACTTCATTTCTTCATCTTCAACTATCGAATGATTATTTCCGGTAGATGTTTCTGTCATTTCAGTTTGTTCTGGACTGTGTGCTCTGACCGATCCTGTAAGAAGTTGACATACGTATAAAAGACAGAACTAAACCTGAAAATAACGATGTTATCCACTCATTGAAAATGTTTATGTTTCACAGATCGAAGCTGTAAATACTTAACTTAGTGTATATTTAAGTATGAGGCTTAGATTTCCGACAAACCGACAATAATGAAAAATAACTATTATTATTATTAGAATAAGATTTGATATAATACATTTTCTTTATTTAATATATTACTTTTAGTACAACTTAACATAAATAGGGTGTGAAAAAAAAACACGTGTTAGATATTCCAAAGTGTCAATATAATCTCATACGAAATACGTTCATTGCAAGTAGAGAAAAAACATGCTTAATTATTTGATACTTGTATATATAATTAATACTTGAAACCGTCGGTACTTGGTGAAACTTCATAATTACAGAATTGAAGAAAAACTAAGACAATTGTAGGTTTCACAAAAACTTCATTTTTTCACGACCATGGTTTTGCCAGTAAAGGTATCATCAGGTACAGATCTGAAACGTACGATTATCTTTGTTTTTCTTCAATTTTGTGACACTTGTATAATTTGTTTGTTTCAGAATTTTCCTGCAAAGCTGCATAGAAAGAACTATATTCACATAGCGGTGATGTAATGCACTAGCAGGAAGGTATCTAGTCAACAACACTCTTAGAGCAACCTTCCCTGACAGAATAATGGAATTTGACTATCACTCTTATTACCACGGCGCCGAAGTGAGGGACGCGTTTGTGCAGCAACAGACAACGAATAATGATGCCACGAATTCACAATACGAAAACTAGGCCCGTCACAACTTGTACAATAAATCTGTGAATAAAAGTGTCTAAGTATACTTAGGAGACTATTCACTGTACGTAAGACACGCTCTAATCATCACAAACCTTATTTAATAAAAATTACTAATTCGGCTTTTGCAATGTCGTTTTTATGAATCAACCCTGCTTTTTCTCAATTGCGATTCTAAATGCTGTTATATTTCTAAGTGAACATTAATTAAACACAGTTTGAACTTACACTGTCTATGTGTGTGTGTGTACATATTTGAGTGTTAAGTTGATACATTAAATTCTACCTATTTTGATTGTGCTGGAAACGTCCCCCGGAAGGTCACCCCGGTATGATGGAAGTCTAGGCATAGTGTCGTTGAGTAAGAGTCTGCCATGAGATCCCGTGGTCGCCATGTTTAAAACTGTTTGCATACACGTACAAGCTATAGGGACCAAACAAGCTTGGCACACGTGATGAGATACCATGTGTGAGTGTTATAACGGGGTTTTTGTTCGTGTGCGGAACCATTGGGGTTCTTATAGAAGTAACTTGGGATAATGGAGGAGTATGAACGATGCATTGAGGTCTTTCCAAATCAGAAATGGGTGTATGAATCCCGAAGCGGAGCGCGGGTAAATTAGTTGTATTAATTTACGAGGAGACTTGGAGAATTCATGCATGATAGCTAATCAGACGCAAACAATGCTTGTTTTATATACGAGAATGTTCGAAAACACAATATCTTTGGAATTAGTATATCCCTATTTCTTAAACATTTTTTTTTATAATACTAGCCTAGTATTTTGTGATATATCAATACATATCTTACATACAAATCACGAGTTACAGAGAGAGCAGCATGTTATAATATTCATTATTAACTTAAACTGTGTTTGTTACAGATCTCTTACAGAACACAACGATCAAGAAGTAATATTTATTCAAATAAATAACAAGAAATGTTGTTCCTCTCTGATTGTTTCCCGGGGGGACACTGATAAGTTTGCTAACTTACAACGCTAAAATATTGTGTTAAGACCGAAAACACTGTTAGCATAGAGGGTGCCCAACTGATGACCTAGGACGAAGTGGTCATAGAATCTTTTGTTATTACTAATAATTAAAACTATTTATTACTAACCGTGATAATTTTAGTCGGATTTTAATAGCTCTTCCGGTGGAAATAATTTAATAACTGGTGCTTATTTACGATAATAGTTAACATTTAGGACCATATACTAAACCGATAACTATTAGAACTGTGTCTCAGGGCGTTTTTTTATAAAACCTATGGGAAAAAGCAATGAGCATGTGACTACCCACCGTCCCCCAATGGCTCAGCGGGTAAGTCTGAGTGCTTATAACGCTAAAAATCGGGTTGTGATGGGCAGAGTACAGATAGTTCATTATGTAGTTTTGCGCTTAAGAACAAATAAACAAAAAAAAAACTCACCCGTACTATCTGTACTACATTGGTGAGGCAAACTTAGTGTTTTGTTAATGTCAGTGTGTTTTTCTATAGGATGACTGATAGTGATAAGAGGAACAGTTCCCCCGTCTCCTCCTCTTCTGGGACTTTCTTCTGTAATTCTGGAAATAAACGGAGTAAAAAACAATAACTTAAATGAATAAATCACACTCAGGTAAGATGGCGGATGCTACACAGGGTTGGGTACATTGTATTAAAACAATGTTGAATATGCAAATCAACAAGTCGCGTGTCAAATACAGCCGACATAATGTTACGGTGGAATGGCATGTATAAGAACTTTTGACAGTGTTTGGGGGTTTCATTGAGGTAGTATGATACCATCAAAAACTGATCACTTTTGGTAAGTGCATGTAACAGCCCTGTTGGACGAAAAATATCCATACACTTACATTGGGGATTTAAGATTTTCAAGGCGGGAATATCCTTTGTACTTAATAACACCGGATACCAAAGTAATATGGATCAACTTGAGGTACACGCCCACCTCGGAAAAGATCTGCGATAAGTCGTATCTTGGCTCTGGTGTCTTGTAACATGAGAAAACACCTGAACATAAAAATCAATAGCAAAAGCCGTCTACGTGCCTTAGACAATATAACATAAAATTAAATTAAAGGACAGCAAGGGATCTTTTGGTACATCTAGGCTGTAAGTTAAAATAAACTCTTAAAAAACACATCAAAACCAACACTTTTCATTCAAATATTTATTAAGCTTTCCCTTAAGTTAGCTGCATCCACCACTACTGAAGGCAACTCGTCCCCAAGCACCATGTTAGAAATATAAGATTGTCTCAGATGAAGATGATTTATTCCATCTCAAAATTTATATTCGCTTCTCTTAGTGTTACCATTCTCACCATTAAATATGGAAAAGATGATGCTTCAACACTATCAATTCCCTTACCAATCTTAAACCCTCAATCAAATACCCTCTAACTCTTTTTTTTTCTCCACAGATAACAATTTCAGAGATCTTAACCCATCGTTATAAGATAGTTTTATGTTCCTTCTGAGGTAAGAAGCCCAAGACTAAACACAATACTCAAAATATGTCCTAACCAACAATGACCTATACAAGGACATTATAATATTTTTAGACTACTATTCAGTGCTTCTGTAGACACAACCTAAAATCATATTTGTCCTGCCACTAGAAACAAACATTATTTGTATAGCTTAAGAGACTGATCAACCGGAATACCAGAATCATTTTCTTCCATAACACTTTTAAGGTCATTCCCATCAAAATTATACTGATAATTCAAATTGTGATATCCCACATGCAATACCTTGCATTTATTATGATTAAAATCCATCTTACATTTGTTCGCCCAAATCACCAAATAGTCAAATCCCTTTTTAAGGCAGTAGCGTTTTTATCACAGCCTGCAACACCCACAATTTTAATGTCATCAGCAACTTTAAATAATGAAATAACATGCAACGTAATTAAAAAGAATCTCCACCTGGAAAAGCGACAGAGTCACGTGTAAATAAGTTGCTTCCAGGATATATTGTTCAACCGTCGCATACCTCAGACAGCTAGAGAATGAGACGGGTGTTCATGCTATTTCACAGGATGTGGCGCTTATGGATTTTTGTGCGATTGGACTGTTGAAGCAAATGCTGGAAAAATGTCGTATTCGTACACTAGATGGCTTATGGAAAGCCTGAAAAAAGAAGGGGTGTGCTTTAGACATGGCAGCCTTAAGACGGAACTATCTAAGCTGTAGGACTATTGTCAAGGATCATGGTCGTTAGACGGAGCATGACTGGGTAAAGCGAAATGGACTGTAACGACGTACTGAGGCTCCAAAATCGTTTTAATATAACGTACTCAACCCCTGTATTATCAGGCAAACATATCGTTTCGCTCTTCACGTCATAACTTAATTTCTTACTGATATGATCGTGTTTAAGCATAAATCCAGTTACGTTTTTTTATGTTTGTCCCTACAGCATTACCAGCCGCTATAGAAACCCTTTTTTTTTACAGCATCTTAGCTCACTTGTGCATTTTTACTTGATTACACATTCTATAAGTATCTTTTTACGAAATTATTAGTATTATCTGCGCCCAGCCGTCTCTTATTTAGAACTGATAAACTAGAGGGAAAGCAGCTAGTCAGTAGCAACCACTGTTAACACTTAGGCCACTCTTATGTAAGTAGTCCAAGAGTTGGCGGTGGGTGCTGTTGACTAACTGCCTTTCTTTTAGTCTACAAGTTCAAAATGAAGAATGACTATGGGCAAGCAGCCCTTGTATATCTTTTCACGTAGTACAGAAACAAATATACAAATCTGTTCAATGGTAAACAACAACTACGTTTTTATATGAATAAAACGTTCTTTGATACTAACCTATTATGATCATTAAGACGATGACTTGGTGAGTCTAAATGGTTTTCCTCAGTTCGCAACGGGTACTGCACTTGTCTTTTGACAGATGTGTCTGAAAAATTGACAGTAAATCACTCTATTAGAATAAGAGAGTACTCATGTATCTGGCCAGCAGTTTTAGTTTAGGGAAAGCTTTTTCTAAACCTTGAAAAAATTTGATTTGACTGTTTAGAACATTTATCCCATTAGGTGCCGTTTAAGTTGCAAATGTCATAAAGTTTATTAGAACATGACAGTTGTAAGAAAGTTATATTACTTTTGTTCATATTGTTCTATATGATTTAGAATGATATGTCTAATCAATAATCTTACGATAGATTTCACTGGCCAGTAAAAACGATGATGTTCCAAGTGGGAAGTTCAAAACTCAAAAGAAAAATTCTAGAATGACCTACGTGACTTCTGAAACAATATAAGAACAGAGCTTGAGTTATGACAAGAGTTGTTCTACATGGTCTCAAGAATTCCACTAACTTTTAGTTCAGATAGACATGTTAAACGTGTTTAGAGTACAGTTCAAGCATTACGTGTCCGAACAAGAACGCTTTAGTTAACTTAAATAACTTGTAAGTCAATTAGCAGCGTATACAAAGATATCAGCATATGAATTCATCGCTTAGAGGTTCTGTATAGCCCTTCTAATGGATTTACTGACATACCCCACGATCATCAGGCTTGGGATTTTCTTTGACATGGTTTTAGTTTGTAAGTGCAAAAAACACTTACTTTGTTGCCTTCTTTAATGGATTTTCTAATAAACTTAATATAATAACTTTCTGTAAACATTTTCTAAGCTCTTAAATCTTTTACCGCTATTTAAGATTCTAAAGATGACGTCTGGAATTATCTTTCTCTTCTTTTATAGCCTATTTTCCCTAAAAGATTTGGCTCCATAAGATACACAATATTTGTCGGTTCGTTGATATACAATAAGAATAAGAAAAATTGCCATGATTAGGTAATTATAATTTTAAATGAGTTACATAAACGTTGAATAAAAAGTTGAACCATGTGTTTTCCTGGTTCATTTTGTATGTACTCGTTCCTAATTACGTAGTAACTTTTTCTTACATATAATAAAGGAATATAGAATAATAGTTTTATTAATCTACATTTAAATTATGTTAAAATATTAGCTGGTTTATGATAACTGGTCGATTTTCCTTCTGATCGACTCCATTACAATTCATATTACAAATATATGTATTGTTTTCTGAATATATTTACTGATTGTGATATATTTCATAAATAAATAATATGAACAGACACGCTAAGATTTTTGGTTCACTACCTGTCGTATGTGACTCTTCGTCCTCTTGTTCGATTTCAGTTTCGGTCAGATGATTTAGTTCTCGGAATTTGTTACATGTGGGTAACACAGGCAATATATTTTTTGTGATTAACCATTTATTAGCCAGGGTTTTGTCTCCTCCTCCACCTTCCTTTCCTGCTAAAGAAACGTCAATTAGAGCATTATTTCATCATCTCTAGTTTGGTCTCCTTCTGTTGAAGAAAGTTTTTGAAATATTGTGACAATGTTCTAGCTTCTGTCCCAACTTCTTTAAATGGAATATCATAACAATATTGTGACAATGTTCTAGCTTCTGTCCCAACTTCTTTAAACGGAATATCATAACAATATTGTGACAATGTTCTAGCTTCTGTCCCAACTTCTTTACATGGAATATCATAACAATATCTTAATTTATATCCCTTCCTGTTTTAAAAGTTTATTTATTTTTTTTGCAACATTGTGATAGCACCCCGTTTCTGTCCTTTCCAGCCCCCAGTGGATCATCGGTAAGTTTGAGGGGTTATAACACTAAAAATAGTGTTTCGATGTCTGCAGTGGGCAGAACAAAGATAGCTCATTGAGTAGTTATGTTCTTAAAAAAAACAAAAAAAAACTGTTCTTTCCTGCTAAAAACGTTTGTTTTCAAACCATTATAACATCATCAGGTCAGATAATCAATAGTAGAGCCACGGCAATAATTGTAAACATCTTTAATGAACTTTTCGGAATTACATATATTCCATCTTCAGCAAATCTATGAAAAATAACAAACTGAATAATCTTTAGTATAATTACTAATATAAAAATACAATAAATAGTGTTAGAAAATGATAAACATTCCAGTTTAAAAAAAAAGAAAGAAGAGAGGACTATTTGAATAAAGCAAGGGGGAACGAGTTTGAATTTCTATTGAAGCTTAGATTTTCGTTCTTAATATGTATACTTTCTTTAATCAAGCCTCAAGAGAAATATTGCTATCAAAAAAACTGTACTATAAAAAAGCACGTTACTGCATTTCTTAATGAATATGCAAGGTTTTCGTTTATTAGGGGTGGAGTGTGTTGTTGTTGTTAAGCACAAAGCTATACAATGAGCTATCTGTACTCTGCCCACCACGAATATCGAAACCTGGATTTTAGCAGTGTAAGTCCGCAGACATACCGCTGTGCTACTGGGGGTGGGGGTGGAGGTAGGTGCTATGATTTACTTACCTAATACATTTGTTTGACTATGTGACATTAAAAAGTTGTTGATAATAACAAACAGAGGTTGTTATTCTCCTAAACACCTAAGTCGGTGAAATATATTTATTTACACAAGAATCAGAGCTAGCAGTGGTTCTACACCTACATTAAATTATGTTTGTTCCGAGCACTATTGTAATGACAGACAGCAAATTTTATTCTACGAGTACAAATGTGTTCAGGAAATAAAATATACTCACCATTAGCATCATTCGAGGCCTCCTTCTCATGTGATCTCTCCTAAAATGGTTCAAAATGTAGTTAATTACTAACTCATTAAAAAGTATAAAACTTATGCTGAATGTGTTGAGTTCGATTGAAGTGATGAAACATCTACAAACTTATTGAAACTTATAACGTAAACACGTGTGTTTTGGATATATAAATCATTGCAATAATTTAAAAAAACGTTGCTGTATATGGACATGCCATTAGATAACTAAGTAGTACATATAATAAATCAACAGATATAGTAATGCATATATATGAAACTCTCAGAAGAGGAAAAACAATTAATCCAGTGGCATAGCCAGGTTTTCCACTCACTGGGGGCAGAAAATTTTAGGGGGCAATAAATTAAAAAGCTGAAATTTATCTATTTTTTTAATAAAACTGTCGTTAAAACAAATCAAATGTAATAGTATTTATACAAGTTTTATTTTATTTTTTATTAAATGATACAAAACGAGTTTATTATATATATAAAAGCTGAAAAATAATATGTGATCAGTAGATTTTTCAGGGGGCGCCTCTGAGTGAACCGTAAGCAACTTTCCACGATCATCGTCATTCAAAACAATTTTACTGAGTTGTAAACTTAGAATAGCAAAAAAATATATATTATACCGTATTGGTTCCTATAAAATCCTGCAGAGTTCAATGTGCTGCTTGATTTCATTGTATATATGAGCTTGTATTAATATTATCATAACAATCTTTAGGCTATTAGGTTTAGCGTGTTAATAACATTTCCGCCATTTTAAATTTAAAAATCATAATACTATTTACATTGTTGGAATGTTTTGAAAGGTAAACCTGTTGTGTTAAAACATTTGAAACTATATCTAGCAACACTAATTTTACTCTTTCCTGTGCAGTTATAATTTTGAACATGGGCAGCAGCAGTTCTGACATTTGGATGGGAGTAATTTTACGGGAATATCCGAACACATCTTGTACACGATAACGTTACAAAACCACATAAATAACTTTCCAAAAATCTCTATATCATATTTTATTTTCACATACCTTCTCCACATAAATCCATCAAACTTACCCTTCGTAGCTGTATCTTTAAATCATTATTGGCCTCACGAAGTGAACCAGTCAACGATATCAGGTAATAAATTATTAACCTGGAAGACACATGTTTCACGAATCACTTTACGTCACTGTATTGTAAGCATATCTATTTATACTGTTGCAAAAGTTAACGCTTTAACACCGACTTCATACATCCGGGAATAGGTAAGAGTCGCAAATATCTCTCTCTCTCTCTAACTTCCAGTGGCTCAGCGGCAAGCCCGAGATATTATAACGCTAAAAAAAAGCGGGGTTTGATACCAGCGTTGGGCAAATAACAGATAGCCCATTGAATAGTTCTGTGCTTAACAATAAACAAACAAATCCATATCTTTTAAACTACAAAGGCGTATTTGAGAATCAGCCGATTTGTTAAATATATATATATATCAAATTTACCGTAAGCCACAAATCTTTGGCAGAATTCGAATTAGTATTTGGCTGAAAGTTTATCTTTTCTTTCTTTTTTACAAATAATTTTATCAACTTGATAATTGTGTCAGTGAAGGAAAGCAGAGTTGTTAAGAAAAATTAGGTTGTGAAGTTATTATATCTCCCGAAACTTTCAGTTTATCAATACTTACATTCATGCAAATCTTACACAAGTAAAATAAATAGCAATACAAATATTTTAGACATTAAGAAATATATATATATATACAGAACTACAAACTTGGAACACAACTGAATTTCACTAAACAATTTGTGTCATTCTTTTATTGTTAATATTTTGTTATTTTCACTTTGTTTTTATCTTTATCTCGTAATAACGAACGGAAAAGGTGCCTGGTATTACCTGTTTATCGACATAAGGTCATTCTGAAGTAAATACAATACCAATAGCATTGAAATATATTTTTTCCCATATTTCTCAACAAAAGTTAAATAAAAAAAGTTGTCGATTTGCAGTACTGATTTCAAACAGGCGTGTTATAGATTTAATTTTTCCGTTCGTAGGACAGGTGTAGTTATTCTATTTTTCTAAACTGAAACCGGTTGAGAAACCAGAGCTGCAATGTTTATTAGCTTGTTTGTTATTAAGCATAAAGTTACAAAATGGACTTTCTGTGCTGTGCCCACCAAGATACCGAAACCTGACTTCCCGCTGAGCCACTGGGGGAGGGGGCATCTATTTAGTTTACTGTGATAGTCGTGGATTTAAAACTGAATAATGCAGTTAAAGTCAACTTCAAAACAGCTATTGTTAAACGCAATAATTTTAGTAGACTTCCGCTTGAGGTTCGGGAACTCTATAACCATTGAGGCAGTTTGAGTGTTACCAACAAACCAAGCGTATATATACATTCAATGGAGATTTTTCCGTTCACTGTCACCCTTAATGACTCCTTTATTTCTCTATAACTTGACGAATAGCATATTTTGTAACTCGTTAAGTTACATTTTTAGCAAAGTATTTCGTTCATACTGTATACTTTCAAAGAGTATTTCCAATGTTCCTTCTTTCGTCTTCCTCAGAACGTATCACCTAACAAGGCATCTATCATGCCTAGCTAGGTTGGGCATGGCACCTGTAGTGTCTGCCATTAAGCCTTTAGCTATATTATGCACGTAATTAAGTTTTTTATACAGTTTTCCTTTACAAATTATTCATTACTGTAAGGTCACGAGTTGAAAAAAAAAATGTTTATGGTTACACCTCTAAGTACTTTTCCGTGGTTGTGAAAAAGGACGACTACAGGGAACATATTGTAAGGTATTGTAACCAGAACAAGTGGTAATCAGTTACCTGAATTAACGCAAAAATTAAGTGTGGTGAGCTAGTACGTGTAAGGGTAACCAAATTAAATAACCAATTTCGTTTTCCAAAAAGTTATCCATGCATAGATAATTTTTAGTTTATTTTTTTTATGAATATAAACTCCTTACATGTTGTGAGAAGTTCGAAGACACATATTTTGCACTGTGATTTTTTATGTTGTTTATTATCTAGGGCAGAAAACGCTATATTTGATAAAAATGCAAAGTATGTGCTTAAAGTATGTGTCCATATTTGTATCTGCAGAAAACGCGAATACTTTAACACTAGTAAGACAAAATCGGAAGTTAACAAGTGGTAAGCACGTGTATTAAATCATATTAGCCAGTTTTTTTTCTTATCAACATTACAACCACTGCAAGTTGACTTAGAATTGTTTACTGATTAGAAAAAAGGAAAACGTAACAGTCAAGCACGTGGTGCAACCTTGAATAGCTGTGACAAAACTCTACGATAGTAGATGTCCGAAAATTAGAAAAAATGAGCAAGAAAGTCTTGATAAAGCTGAAGATATTCCATTTTGTTATATTTTACTCGTATAAAGAGTGTTTGTTTATACTTGTTCAGACTTGTTTAGTTATCACATCTATAGCTTTTGTCATTAGGATGCTTGGTGGAAGGGTTTGCCCTGTTACGTCATTTGTTCAAAACTCAAGAGACAAAGAGATTTTTTTCACGAAAATCCTTTGATAAACACCATACCCTTAAAAAAAATTAAAAGGTAACAGCGGTATATCTATGGACTTATAACGCTAAAATCCGGGGTTCGATTCTTCGCGGTGGACACAGTAGATAGCCCAATGTGGCTTTGCTCTAAAAAACAAACACACAGTCTGGAAAGTTTCTTTTCACTCGTTCTAGCTGGAACTGGTTTCAAGCAAATTTGGATTTACCACAGCTGGCGTCTAAGTTAGTTTGAAGTGGATAACTCAAACAGGATACGGTCACATTACATTTAAAGTCAAGAAAGGTCATCCAATTGTTTGATGACGTCAAAGAATTTTTAGACCTGACTGGTAATCATGAAAAATTGAAATAATGTTTATAAGTTCGTTATTTAAGAAATATGTCGAATTATTGATAAAGAAGAGTTTTATTTTATGAAATCATGCGGTTTTAGAACATTTACATCACAGTTTTTATTTCTATTTTTTTAGTTTCATTATCAGGTTTAGATTCTTGGCGGGAAGTTTTACGAGTAGAGAGTAAGTAATATTTTCGTGAGTGAAATAATTTAACAATTATCGCGGACACAACAATTTAAACACAAGTGACGGCCTCTAGTGGAACAACAACAAACATATCAAATTACAGAAATTTAATATTAAAAAATATAATTACAATTTTCTGAATTTTTTCTAAAATGAGATTACAGTCAATTATTACTATATTAGATTCGCAATAAAAGATTTTTTTTTTAAAGACAGACGTTTTTATTCATGCATGACACAGCAATTTAATAAAGTATTAAAGTTATGAAATCATCACAAATGATAATGATTCACTTACACGAGCAACAAAAGAAGTGGAATTACCAATCCTGGTGACGTAAGATACTCAATGATATTATTCATCCAGGAAGGAAGAACATTCCTGAGGTAGCTTGTGAATACTCGGTAGATACGGCCATAACCACTGGTAAAAGACAACGTTAAATGCTGATTAGATGTATCTCTAGGAGGTTAAATTGTTTAACGGATTTATTTCTGTGGTAGAGGTTAACTTACTTTAACACCCAATCTAGGAGACAAGCTTGGTGGGTTGATTCCGAAACAAAGATTTCCGGCACTTTCGAGGGCTATCTGCGCTAGCCGTCCCTAATTTAGCAGTGTAAGACTAGAGGGAAGGCAGCTAGTCATCACCACCCACCGCCAACTCTTGGGCTACTCTTTTACCAACGAATAGTGGGATTGACCGTCACGTTATAACGCCCCCACGGCTGAAAGGGCGAGATGTTTGGTGTGACGGGGATTCGAACCCGCGACCCGCAGATTGCGAGTCGAGCGCCCTAACCACCTGGCCATGCCGGGCCTCCACGATTTTAGCGAGTTGTATCAATAGAGATAACCGAGGTCTTGCCGCCATAAGATGGCTAGGTGCAGTACCTGCATGAACATGCACACTTCTACTATTTTGTACAAGAGAAACAGATTCTGGCCAATTTCCTAAATTCTCCATCTTCGTGCACGAGCACTATTAATAGGTGATTTTTTTTTGGGGGGGGGGGGTTAAGTGTGGTTTTTAAGGTTGATAGATTGAGTCCTTTATCTGAGTACATTTTTTCTTGGTTCTAACTTGAATATCGGAGACCGCGATACTCCCTATAGCCTACCCAATTCCCAGAATTCGGTCTGATTAACTCGCAGACTGGGTATTAAATAGCTTTTTGGTGTTATATGTATCATTATGATATAATAAGCCTAGCACAATGAGACAGCGATAAGTTTACAGACTTATAATGTTAAAATCATGGGTTCGATTCCCCGGGGTAGACAGAGAGGCGCTTTGTATAGCTTTGCACGAAATATTTTAACGGTTTCTTTCAAAATAAACGGCCGATCCAACGTTTGTGAATCACATGCTTATTTTTAAAAAATTAAACATCAAACAAAGTAATAATTTCTTAAAATATAAAAAAGCTTACAATTTCTACATAAATACATTAACTTCATAATATTCTTTTACAGCTGATATTTCACAGAAAAAAAAATAGATAAAACCTATCATTTAAATTTAAAAGTTTTTATTTTATACACTTTGTTATTTCAGTGATTTCAGGGTGATCAAGTATCCTCCAGAAAAACATTTGTTTAGTAATTAATAATACTGCTATTGATTTACTTATCTTCGCGATTTTTTGTAGAATAATTTCGCGTGCGCTACCTGCTCAAAAATATCATCGCAAGAATATCTAGTTGATAAAATATAAAATCATTAATATGAGTGTAGCATATTACATTAAAAAGCATATCGGTGTACCGTAAATTTACAAATGCGTTCAAAATTTCAAAGTGCAGAGAAAAGTTTCATTGAGAACTAAGAGGTTCTCGTACAGACGCTGACAGTATTTTCAGCAAATTATTCAGAAAAAAAAAATTCTCACACCAAGCAGCTATAAATAAAACTTAACTACTTTCTTTTTTTTTTCACTTAAAAGTCATATATGCACTTAGCTTTCTAAGATTCTGACATTAAGTCACATCCGCGATCAAGTTAAGTTCAAATCAATTACCAGCCTCCCTACGGACTTTATCAGTCATGACAATTCTTGATGCTGTATTCTATTCATTTTCATCTCTTTATACATAGATAATATGAACGTTTTAGGTTTGGTTTATTATGAATTTCGCGAGGGCTATCTGCACTAGCCACCCACCGCCAACTCTTGGGTTACTCTTTTACCAACTAATAGTAGGGTTGACCGTTACATTATAATGTCCTCGCAGGCGGAAAGGGCGAGCATGTTTGGTGTGACGGGGGTTCGAATCCGCGACCAACAGATTACGAGTCGAGCGCCCTAACCACCTGGCCATACCGGGCTAACGTTTTAGAAAACGTATACTTACGCTTCCGTACGTTATTAGAGTGACTTTAGTACCTGACATGCGTAGAGGGCAGGGCGTAGCCTATATGTTACAATGCCTTAACTGTGAATCTAAAAGTTTATATTCGCGCTCCATTCTTGTAAAAACGCGCTCCGCTCTTTGAAATTGTGAGTGCGCTATAAGAATGATTGTCAAATCCGACAATTTGGTCAGACAAAAGTAGCCCCCAAATTGGCGGTTGCTACTGCTGTTGACAAGCTGCTTCTTTTCTAGTATATAAGTTCAAAACTAGAGACGGATAAGCGCAGATAGCCCTGGTTTAGCTTTGCGCGAAATTTTAAACAAATAATAAAGCAATCTGAAATATTGTGATAACGCAGCTTACCTGAAAGGTCCACAATGCCAAGAAGGCTCAAGCCAAACTATTGCAAATCCCACAGGTAGCGTGCACAAGAACAACATAATCAGAAGAAGTGCGAAGTAGAAGTTGTTTGATCTTGATGCCTTGAAGACATTTTCATGAGGAATGTTACAAGTCAAGACAGCCCAACTCCGCACGTACATCAGAATGCAAAGTTTTACAGTGTTAAGAGCAGGTAGACCAGGACTGAAGAACATACCCATCCTGGAAAACAATGTTGAGTAAAGTCTTTTAAAATAAACTTCTATAAGGTTCATATTTGTAGAACAACAATAATCTTCATCATAATGAATAAGAGTTTTAATATGTATTTAGAAGTAGGCTTAAGAAATGGAGTCGTCTGGCAAAGATAACAGACATAACGAATCAGGTTTTGTCCGAATTATAAAATTGTACAGGAAGAAAGAAAATATAGTATTAACTGTTATTTTTCATTTATTTTGGGCATAAAAAATGACTGTTTGTTTTTCTATTGTTAATTAGATATCCTTTTCTTTCAGTTAATAAAAAATTACCTTTGCATCTGTCGAATGCGCTAGGACTTTTTTAACGTAAGAGATTGACGAGATGCTATTGTTAAAACGTTTTTTTACGAACAGTACTGTTCATATTAAGAAACAAGAAATTAACTTCGTAGTTTTAAATTTCTTATAATTATGTTTGACATGAATTTTTGATCTGTTTTTTATTATTTTTGTAGTTGGTATAATCCTATATAATAAAAGTATTTAGTGTAACATTAGATATAATGGTTTTTAACCTGTTTTTTAAGAGAATATTGCTGTAAAATGGCATCCAGCACTTACCATATCATTCCTTGGTTGTTGACAATGTGTAAGATATTCGCGTAACATTAGATATAATGGTTTTTAACCTGTTTTTTAAGAGAATATTGCTGTAAAATGGCATCCAGCACTTACCATATCATTCCTTGGTTGTTGACAATGTGTAAGATATTCGCGTAACATTAGATATAATGGTTTTTAACCTGTTCTTTAAGATAATATTGCTGTAAAATGGCATCCAGCACTTACCATATCATTCCTTGGTTGTTGACAAGGTGGCAAAATATTCTCAGCAATTTTGAAATCTCCATAACCTGGCTAATACAAAAGAAATCGCACATAATTTATTTTTGTTTAAGATCAAAACTGCATAATGCGCTATCTGCATTGTGCTCACCAGAGGGATCGAACCCAAAAGTTTAGCTATATAGGTATTTAAAACTTACCAATGAGCCACCGGAAAAGCCGTAGTTAATTACATATTTTATTTCAAAACATCAAAATTAACCCTAGAATTGCCGATGGGGTCCGATCCTAACGGATTTTTAAACAAACTGTGTTATTGTACCAAATCGCTTGTGGGGTCTTTGAGGCTGTTCCTTGGTTTTGCTTCTTTCTTTTTTTAGCGCAAAATTAAACAACAAACTATCTACACTTTGTTTACTGCGGGGAGTCGAACCCCGAAGTTTAGCTTTGTAAGTCTGTAAACTTATTGTTGACCCACTAGAGTAAAACGCTGTAGGTTAGAAGACTTCTTATAACATGAATCATACAAAAACATTTAAACAAAAATACTTTCAATATTGCCATATAATCCCACTCATTACTGTTTGGGTTTCCTTTGTATTTTATATGGAAATGATTGTTGTAACAAACAAAAACATGAAATTACTTAATATGATACAACATGTGAACCTCACCGATAGTGAGCGGTATGTAAAGAAGTCGGTAATTTAAGGACTAATTTATAGATTAGCAAAAAATGGTACATGTTAAGGTTTACACGTATAGGATGTACCACGATAATTTATCCCAAAATAAAAGTAAACTTACAAATACCAAAGAGTTTATGAGAAACAGCAAACTGATGCCATTAAAACTAACAACAAGGTCTTTTTTAAGTATGTTAAAATGTGGAATGAGCCCTTAAGTGCTACAGATGACAAGGTTTTTTGTTGAAAACTGTGAGAACACTGGTTTTAAGTGTTTTCTTCTGTTTCTATGAGTGAGGACATTAGCAATATTCCCAACCAGAGCATTCTTGCATTCGTCATAGAACAAGAAAAAAGACAAATAGCAACGACGCCGAAACGAATCGTTTAATTAACGGTATCGAGTAATGTATACACAATAGCACATTTTTATGTATACCGTTACAAGTACGACAGAAATCGTTGAAATAAAACATACATAAAACATCGCTGATTTCTATAAAATACGGGAAGATCACTTATCAGTAAAATAAAGATGGGAAAGATCAAAGTATAGAACGCATTTTAGTTTAATTTATTATGAATTTCGCGCAAAGTTACACGAGGGCTATCTGCGCTGGTCATCCCTAATTTAGCAGTGTAAGACGAAAAGGAAGGCGGCTAGTCATAACCACCCAGCGCCAACCTTTGGGCTACTCTTTTACCAACGAATAGTGGGATTGACCGTTACATTATAACGCCCCAAGGCTGAAAGGGAGAGCATGTTTGGTGGGACGGGGATTCAAACCCGCGACCCTCAGATTGCGAGTCGAGTACCTTAACCACCTAGTATGGGACTGTGAATGTGCAACGCGCTGTAACTTAAAATGTCTTTTAACGGTTTGTTTTGCTGGAATATGTGTTTTTCGACATTTCAGGTGTTGCTGTTTACGCTAGAACATTTTCTACAGTTGTTTCTGCATTTTTTTAGAAATATAATAAGCATTTAGCTATTTAATTACGGTAGATTTCATACTATGTTAAAATAAGAAAATTAGGTTCTTGAAAATGACAGTTTGGTTCTGGAAAGTCCTAGATCTCTTAGTCTTAGCGAACCATGTGGCATATTACACAAATACTCACCTTTTTGTTTTGTTTGCCACAGAATATTTTCCTACCTTTTCTTTAAAAAGTTACGCCTTTTATTTCTAATCTATCAGATATATATATATTTTTTCTCATGAAGTATAATCAGTATCGAGAACACATATAACATTTGTCCCAAAAGCATAGCATTTATCCATTCAGCCTTGATTATAAAGTTTTTACTCTATTAAAATATTAACAAAACTGATAGTTGTACATACGATTTTTACTTACGCCTACTATTGGAGCAGTTCTTACACAATAGCGTTCCTGGTTGAATATAGAGGTAGTTATTTATAGAAAGATCAGTGGACACCATTTTGTCATTGTTAATATGAGTGACCTGCCACCTAGTGATGAAAAACTCGATACCGTTAGATACTACACAAAACTTCGGCACCGTTGTTTCAAAGCCTGTATAGCAAGTAACACCAACGCTTAACACACCGCAAGTTTTCATTTTTACTCCTCTGAACGCATTTACTTTTAGCAACATTTGTTTATACGGTGAACTTTGTTTTCTTTATATATTTATCAACAACTTTCCAGAAGATTCAGGATCGTGAGCAATTTTTGAATATGTTTATTGAGTAAAAAATTGGTTTTAAGAGTTGACGATGTGCTAGCGGGTTAAACCAACTTGAAGCTGAATGCGCTTATCACGGCACAGTCTTGATATATACAATGCAGCCAAACTTTGACGGCAAATCTCTGACAATACTAAGCTTTGTTGTTTGTAGTTGAGCACAAAGCTACACAATGAGCTCTCTGCGCTGTGCCCATTACGGGTATCGAAACCCAGTTTCTAGCGTCATATACCCGCAGACTTTCCGCTGTGCCAGTGTGGGGTCAAAGCTACGTAAAATAAACGTTATGAAAGCAACACTTTAACAGCATCAACTGGTCAAATAACCGTGACTTAAAAATAGCCTTGTTTTGGGGGTAAACAAGTTGTGTCATTCTACTTTTCATGTGCTTTAAGAGATTCACTAAGTACATAGTTTGTTTTAATTTTAATGATACCGCGAATTATAAAGTTAATTCAGAAATTCAAATTTTATGGTAAAAGAATAAGTAACAGTCCACTATTGTAACAGTTACATAAGTAACTTTCGTTTGTTGTTGTTTTTTTCTTTTTCGGATAGCCATTCGTAGACTTAGTTCTACGTTTCGAAATGTTAAGTTTATCTATCTTAAAATATTTTTCCAAAAATAAAGGTTTCATATTTTGGATATGTTTTTGTGAACGTATTGTCGCCACTTCAGCATTCATAGTACTAAAAAATGACGCAAGGAGAGCATTCTCAGTTTCTTCCTTTTTTCGGAACCTCCCTGTTGGCTACGATCAACTTCACCGAAGCAACAAAAATATATACTTATGTGTAACAATCTCCTTCTGTTATGGTGAATGTAGTTAAATAGATATATAAAATTTATTATTTCTATCTGTACAAAAATTACACCATCCCATTGTATTGTCAAATTATATGGATAAGTTTTTCTGAGTTTTGTTTTTAAATTTTTAAGACTAGTTTTAACAAATATCGCAAACATATAAAATATAAATAAACAACCTTATAGTGCGATAGTTCGCATGCAAAATAATGAAATAAACTTTAAGGTTCGATCTTTATTAGAAAAGCAAAGTACAAAACTTTTTCACAGAGTTAACTCATCATTAGCACCTCGTGAACTATTATGCATTTAGTTGTTGTTGTTTTTTTTAACAAAACTCGAGTTACCGCCGTTTTTGTCCAGTAGATGTACTTGCTCTTGATACTATGCATATCAATTCATTCCTACAAATCAAAGAGTATCTTCTATTCCTTATTTACAATGGGATTCTTGTAAGAGAGAAAAAAAAACATTTGAAAAGATAATGATTTTTTACAAATTTCACGTTCGTCAAATGAATAAATAAAAAGTTAAATTTCTTATCAGTCATCATTAACTTTTGAAATATTTTCTTTAAAAATAGAAATATAAACATTTCTCAATCTACTTACAAATTTCTTTTCCAAATCCCAGCACCAACAGTTGTTGGCGTAGCGCACGAATATGGCTCGTATAAAGTCCATTAATATTATGCTGATAATCGTCATTATTAAATCCATTACGGTCAACTTCACTAGTTCCTGAAAAAAAGTTAATGACTGAGATTTGATGAAGGAACAGAGAAGGGTATTATAATAGTACATACTCAAAATATTAAATACTGGAATATGATAAATATGATTTTGTTTTATTGGAGTTGCATGAATTATGTTTTTTCTTTTAAATTTACAACTCGTTTGTCCGTTGCTAAGGAAAGTTCCACAATAGGTTATCTGTGCGGTACCCAACGCTAAGATCGAACCCAGCGTTATAACCTCAAAAGTTTACGACTGAAACTCCAAGGGACCAGATTTATGGAAGCAGAAAAACAACATATTTTTGAATAAAATAATGTGTATCATTTTTGCATGTTAAACATGTATATTACTACCTTTTATGACTGTATTTTTAGTTTTTTAATGAATTTAAACATATTTAATTTATTTGCGAAAATAAAAAAACGATTAGGCCAACACGTGTTACAACTAAGAAACGATTAAGTAAACACGTGTTAAAACAAGTTTGCAAACTTGATTTTTCAAGTGAAATGTAAATAAGAAATACGATTTCATTCATATACAGCAATTATACAATTACAATATCAGTATTTCTGATAATTTATTATAGTAAAACAACATATCCCATCGGGTAAAATAAAAAAAGTTTTTAACGAAAGTCTAACAGAAATAGTTAATATCCCTCAGTAGGTCAGCGGTAATTTTACGGGCTTACAACGCTAAAATCCGGAGTTCGATTCCCTGTAGTGGACAAAAATGGGCTCATATGGACCTTTCTTATTTAGTATGTTACGTATTACAATTTCAAATAGCCAGAACTGAGCTAAATTGTAATTTAGATTTAGTAGTTAAATAAATGCCGATATATATCCAATTTATGATATTTGCTAACAAGATTGATACACACAATATTTCTTTCTTTTAATACAAATATATTTTAACATACAAACAATAATATAATTTACAATAACGGTTATTATAAATAGTTATTACAAACAATAATTTATATACAAAAATTTTACAAAGTTACAAACAATATAAAGTCTTCTTTCTGGTCTGGAACTTCCTTGATGTCTTATTGAGGGTTGACGATGAGTGAGTTAATTTCGAGTTGATATAGGTATAATTCGTTTAATAGGGAGCTAGCTAGCTCTGTGGTCTTCACTGATCACCGATGAAGTTAGGTAATGTTTTCGTAAAACTACTAATGTCCGATGT